GGGGTTTTTTGTTGTTTAGTCTTTTTTCAATCCTGTCTAACTCTTTGTGAAAAAAGTTTGCCATTTTCTTCTCCAGCTCATTTTACAGATGGTCACACAGCTAGTAAGTGTCTGAGGTCATATCTGAACTCAGGTCTTCCTGACTCCAGGCCCAGCACTCTATCCATTCAGCTACCTACCTACCCCACGTTGAGCTTAGGAATCAACTAATTGCCCAGATTGATGAGAATATAGATTATGGGAGGGGAATATTGTGAAGTCAGACTGGAAATTTAATAAAAGAAAGGTTATGGAATCTTCTTTCATAGAGATGGTCGAAAATAGACTATGTTCCTTATTCACATTCATTCATTCATTCGTTTGCATGCTTGCTTATTTACTTATTTGCTTTTCTATGAATCTTTTAAAGATTTATATCACTTTCACCTCCCTGTCTTCCCTACCCCCCCCCATAGAACATTCTCTTGAAACAAGGAACAGTCAAGCAGGACAAACCACACATTGGCTGTCTCCGCCAGTCTATACCTCAATTTGGCCCTGTATTCTACCTTCTCTCTACAGAGAAGGAAGATAGGTGCCATCAATAGTTCTGGAGACAAAATAAGCCACAGCATTGATCTGAGCTTGGATGTTTTAGAATTATTCCTTACTTTACATTATTGTGGTTGGTGTATATATTGTCTTAGGATCGTAGATTTTGAGTTGGAAAGAACCTAAGAGGTCATGTAGTCCTGAGACCCACAAAGATCAGGAGATTTGTCCAAGGACACAAAGGTAGTAAGGAACAGAGCTGGGATTTGAATCAAGAGGTCTAACTCCAAATCTAGTTCTATTTCCAGGGTGCTATGCAACCCCTTGGTTATTTCCTGGTTATCAGATCATCTGGAACTTCCTATGTAGGGGCAGCTAGGTGGCACAGTGGGTAAGTGGCAGGCCTAAAGTCAGGAAGACTCATCTTCCTGAGTACTTCCTAGCTGTAGGACCCTAGGCAAGTCACTTAACCCTGTTTACCTCTGTTCCTCATCTGTAAAGTGAGCTGGAGAGAAGGAAATGGCAAACCATCCTAGTATCCTTGCCAAGAAAACCCCAAGTGGGATCACAAAGAGTAGGGCACCACTGAACAACAATAACAAATGTTCCTCTTAATTTCTCATGGTTGTAATTTCTTATGCCAAACTAATATTCCATTTCATTTACATGTCATAATTGCGCGCCCATTCCCTAATTAAGAGGCACCCACTTTGCTTCTGTTTTTTTTTTTTGTCACCACAAAAAACACTGCTATGAAAATTGGGTGTATAAGGCACTTTTCCTTCTGGCTTTGGTCTCCCTGGGGTATACGTTCAGTAATGGGATCTCTGATGTATAGTTTATATGGTTTATAGTTTTACATATCTTATAGGACAATTAGACCAATTAATTCATGGCTCCACCAAGAGTGTATGTTGGTTGGTTGGTTGTTGGCCTTCTTTCTTGAAGAGGACCAAAATGACATCATTATGTTAAAGTCAAGTTACAGTGTGTCCCACTATGGCTCATCAGACCAACGCGAGCTCAGCATGCTCTACCACAGATTGGGCATCAATAGTCCATGTGAACATTTGGGGTGGATTCTCTAAATTTGTGCATCTCACTTTTTTTTGAGCTACTTCAATTCTGCTTTGCTCATAGAGCACAGCACCTTCTCTGATGAGGACATGCCATGCTGGGCAGTGCTGTCTCTCATGTCACACAATCAATTCCATAAGAGAGACCTTGAAAGTGTCCTTGTATCGCTTCTTCTGACTACGTCGTGAGCTTTTGCCCTCTGTGAGTTCTCCATAAAAGTCTTTATGTGTGCTGGTTATATAGTAAGGAAACCAAATATCAAAGAAGTTAGAACTTGTCTAGAATCACCAGATTGAGTCTCTTTTCCCCCTGTGCAACCCTTACCCCTCCAATATTAACTGGCCTTTTATCAAGATTGATTCTAGATATTTTAGAGTGAATGCCATTCATTCTAGACAGTTTAGATAAAGCCTACCTGGAAATAGAGAGATAAGCAGAAGAACCAATATGATGTAAGAGGAAGGACACTTTGGAGTAGAGGAGTGAATGAGAGTAATTAATAGTTAATTGTTTTATGGTCCCAGATAGTAGGTGAGACTTCAGGGACAATTTGAGAGTTTGTCATTTATGAGTGTCACATGAAGGCAAAAGTAAACTTGAGCAGAATAATTATACAGCTCAACACTGCAGACTGAGCCCCATTGGAATGTAGTGGTTATGGTAACAATTGCGCAAGATGTAAAGGAAAAAAGCAACTCAATCTGGTGACTCTAGACAAGCTCTAAACTTGCTTATCGGGGTAACTTTTGACCTACAGACACCCTCCTGCCCCTAGGACTATGGACTCATTTACTGTTTAGGTGCCAGTTGGGCTAGATGATTAGATTAAATCTAATCCTGGGGGCTGACCCAAGAATATCATTTTCTCTCTTTGGCTCATTGTTCCCACCTGGAGTTTATTCCAGGAAAATCTCCAAAGTATTGTTTAGCCACTCATGTCTAGGTTTTTCTAACTGTGAATAACAGGGTCCCCAGTAATAAGGATAACAAAAGCAGAGAAATATGTGCTTGGAGTAGTGCTTAGTTTGGGATGAGAAGGAAGGAAGGAATGACAGAGGGAGGGAAGGAAGGAAAGAAAGGAAAGAAAAAGGGAAGAAAAGAAGGAAGGAAGGGAGGGAAGAAGGAAGGAAGGGAGGAAAGAAGGAAAGAGAGACAGAAGGAAGGAAGGAAATGAGGAAACATAGCACTTAGAACTGGAAGTACCTTATAAATCATTTAGTCCAATTCACTTATTTAACAAAAAAAAAAGTTAAAGCCCAAGGAGAATATGAGCTCCTTAAGAATAAGATGATCATACTATACTAGGTGCTAGGTACTTAATGAATACCCGTTGATTGATCTGAATGACTTACTGAAGGTCACACAGGTAGTAGATAGCACAATTAGAATTCGGACCTAGGTCTTTAGGTTCTCAAATCCATTGGCCTTTCCATGACTCCACCATGGCCACTGAATGGGCGTGGATCTCTGGAGACTAAGGTATGGTCTCAGGAACAGGTCATCTTTAAAGGGGGTGGGAGGCAGGTTGTGGTTAGAGGAGAAAAGAAAATTAATCAACCCAGAGTTTAGTTCATTATGGATGAAGAGTTAGCTCCAATCTATTACTCTGCTCACGTGAAGGACAATAGGATGACACTGCCCTCCTAAGGGAGGGGTGGTGGAGGAGGAGGTCAAAAGGGAGTTTGCAGTTGCTTAATACAAATCCTGCCTTCTTCATGACTTTTCCTAGCGACAGGCTTCCTGGGCACAGTGGGAAGATGCAGGAGCTATTTTTAGAGAAGAGGGCTTTTATTTTTCTTTTTAGAGGTTTTATTGATGCTCCTTTCCTTACATTAGCAGTCATTTCCCAATGACTATCTCCTCACACCCAACAGGACTCTCTTCCAATAAGATAATGTAAAGCACTTTGCAAACCTTGAAGGATGTGAGCTATTATTATCACTTGTTATAGTCAAGCAAAACAAATCAATATATTGACTGTGTCTGAAAATGCGTGCTTCATTCTGCCCCTGTGGGCTACCACAATTTACCATCAATCTTCTGAAGTCATGATTAGACACTGCAGTGGTCAGAGTTCTGGAGTCTTTCAACCTTTTTTACCTTTGTATGACTGTGGCACCGTGTACAATGCTCTCCTGCTTCTGCTTTGTTCTGAATCATCAGTTTATACAAATCTTCCCATGTTTCTCTCAGTTCTTTATATTTGCCTTTTCTTTTTGTTGTTCAGTCATTTCAGTTGTGTCCAACTCTTTGTGATCCCATTTAGGGCTTTTTTTTTTGGCAAAGATACTGGAGTGGTTTGCCATTTCCTTCTCCAGCTCATTTTACAGAAAAGGAAACTGAGGCAAACACGATTAAGTGACTTGCCCAGGGTCACACAGCTAGGAAGTATCTGAGGCCAGATTTGAATTCAAAAAGATGAGTCTTCATGACTCCAGGCCTGGCGCTGTATCCACTGTGCCACCTACTTGTCCTTTCTTCTAGCATCTTGTATAGTACATAGGATCTGGGCTCACTCTCCCATCTTTGCTAATCTGTTGAATATGAGGTAAAACCTCAGAGTTGTTTTAATCAGTATTTCTCATTAGTGGTTTGCAGCATTCTTTCACATAGTTGTTAATAGACTGTAGTTCTTCTTTTGAAAAAACAAACAAACAAATAAACTGAGATGATGACTTTCTAAATGTGAGATGTACTCTGCCCTCTTGCAGTACTGCCCAGTCATTCTGATCTTTGCTCCCTCTGGCTGGATGAGGATGGGCCTGGATGGGGGTGAGTCTTTTGAAGTAAGTTCATCTGTTAATAAGAAGAAAGGAAAGAAATAAGCATTTATTCAGTCCTTATTATATGCCAGGCACTGTACTAAGCACTTTACAAATATTATCTCATTCAATTCTCATAACTCCATTTATTTCTATTTAATAGTTCATGAAATGGAAAAGACAGAGGTTAAATGACTTGCCCAAAACCACACAGCTAATAAAAGTTGGAGGCTGGATTTGAACACAGGCCTTCCTGATTCTAAATTCTGCGCTCTGTTTAGTCTACTACCTAGCTGCCACAGTATTTGTGGAGGATAGGTATTGGGGTCAGGGAAATCTATCAGGATTGGAAAGAGTGCAAGGGGCTGAGCTCTGAACTTCTCAGGAATGTTGGGTAGAAAGTTATGAGGATTCCAGGAATTACTACTGATCCATCTCTCTTCTGGAATGTTCCCATATCGGCATCTTCTATGTCTGAAAATGTCCATTTTCCAAGTTGATTGATGCCTCCCAGCCTGTGACCTCAAGGGCTGGGGAACCAATCAGATCACCTGAGCTGAACCTCTCCCCTCCTCTTAAAACACCTCAGTGCTGTCATATTGGAGAGCCTTAAGCTGGATACTTGAGCTGGATACTTCCTGAGCTCCCCTGAAGCATTGACCTAGGAGCAATCCAGAATCAGCTTGATGTACTAAGTCCTAGGATTGTTAGAACATTGTGGACTTTCTGCTTCTGCCATGACCTGAAGACTTTCATGCCTGAGTCTCCCTGACAACATTGCAGGTTGTATTCCTTCCTTCCCCTTTGCCAGTCCCACTTTGGAGGCGTTGGTCCTGCCTTAGTGCAAGGAATTCCTTGGGCTACCCTCCCATCCTTCCCTCGTCATCCCTTCCTCCCAGTCCCTTGGATGTCCCCTGTTAAGTGACTTTGGGACTTTCCTTTAAATACTCCAAATGAAAATGTCTATTGCTTTCAGCATTCCTTGATCCTCCTGCAAATCCCTTTCTGTTTCAGCAATGCACCCTGGCAGAAGCTTTTCCTTATATTGGGCTAAAATTTGCCTCTCTGCAACTTTGACATGCTGCTTCTACTTCTGCTCAAGTAGAACTAAGTAAATTCCTTCTCTTACATATTAGCCTTTCAAATACTGTTAGATAGTAATGTTCCTTCTCAATCGTCTCTCCTTTAGACTAAAGGCTGGTGGCTTCTTCAATTAGTCCTTGTATGGTCCTCCCGCCATCTTAGCATGTCTGGGCGTGTATATGCCAACTGTAGGAGCCTGAAAGGTACTTTTTAATTCATTAAGTTTTGGTGATTTCTTCAAGAATTTATGAGGGATTGCTTTTGTTTTTGTCTTTGTGTGTATGAGCTTGTGTGTGGGTATGTGTATGTGTGTGTGTGTATGTGTGTATGTGTGTGTGTGTGTGTGTGTGTGTGTGTTGATCAGAGGACACAAGTGAGAAGCATGATCTGGTTAGGGATCTGGCCATAACGGTTTTCTGCTGATTAATTCACACTCTCTCTTCTTCTCTGATCACCTTGTACCAAAGATGATACTACCTCTTTCCTTTCCATTGTTGGTATTATTACCTTCTGCTGAATCTAACCCAGAACAAGCAGTCTATGTAGCCCTGAGGGCTATCCTTGAAGGGCAGGGAAAGCACTGGTAGGCCTAAGGCAGAGATGAAGGTAAAGAAAAAGGGAGAAAACCAGAAGAAATGGGAGAGAGAAAAAGAAAAGAGAAAAGTTGCTTATGGTAGAGAGCACAGTGAATTTTCCCTTGAAAGCTAGCTTACAGAACAATAATCATTACACTTTGTTATTTTTGTGTCTGTAAAGCATATTGTAGCTATTCTCACATTTTACCCCCTTTTGAAATAAGGAGCACATTTTAGTTCAATGTAAGGAAAAACTGCCTAACAACTAAAGCTGTATAAAAACAGAATAGGTTTCCCCAGAAGGTGGTGAGATTCCCATTGGTGGAATTCTTCAAGAGGAGGTTGGGTGACCACTCATCAGATATATTAAAGGAGATTCATACTTCAGGTCTAGCTTGGGTTAGATGGCCCTCTAAGATCCCTTCTAATTCTAAGATTAGCTGTAATTCTAAAATTCTGTTATTTATTTCTCCCCCATTTTACAGCTTGATATTCTGAGACTCATTGGTTGCCTCTCCCTGACCTAGCTAGGATTAGCTAGGGTGGTTGTGTATTGTTCAGTTGTGTCTGACTCTTTGTGACCCCATTTGGGGTTTTCTTAGCAAAGATACTGGAGTGCTTTGTCATTTCCTTCTCCAGCTCATTTGACAGAAAAGGAAACTGAGGCAAACAGTGTTAAGTGACTTGCACAGGATCATACAGCTAATAAGTGTCTGAGGCCAGATTTGAACTCAGAAAGATCAGTCTTCTTGACTTCAGGCCCAGTACTCTATCTACTCTGCCCCCAGCTGCCCCTCCAAAAGAGTGCACAGATTCAATTCTTGAATACCTATGTATTCAAATATTATACAAGGAAAGAGATGTACAGTTAATCCTGGATAAAGGAGAGGGTACCTGTGGAACATTGAAAGTTTCCTTTAGAGAAAATCCAGCATAAACTTGGCATGGGAAGAGTGACAGCCATGCAGAGGAGCACCATGGGGTAGGTGGTGGCTACAGTTGCTTTCCCAAAATACTGCTGTCCAGGGCTATACCAATCAAGCTATGAAGTCCCAGCAGATACACCTGTTTCCCCCCTTTGCCCAGATGTCTAAACTAGCTAAGGATGCTGATTTCTGACAATACAATTTAAAAACCTATCTAGCTCTTGGAGGAATCCTTGGGATAACAAGGATAAAAGGTTCGCACCTCCATGCCTTGCCTGGGAGTTTGAGAAGATATTGATTTGGTTCAGGTTCTGGCCCTGCCTCCCCCTGGCGTGAGCATGAAAGGATATTGCAATTGAAACTATCCCTTCCTAGGCACAAGTCTATTAAGTGCAGCTATAATTCACAGTAGATGAAGCTTCTTAGAGAACAGCCTACATAGGAAGTCCAGGGAATACTTTTTCTAATGTCTTCTGGCATTCTTTAGTATTTGTCAATCTTACGTTGCTTTCCAGTGTTGGTTATGCCTGTGTAGGAAGCAACTATTTCTATTTATAGGGCTCTTAATGTCCTAATTCAACTCAATAAGCTTTTATTAGGTACCTACTATATGCCAAGCAATGTGCTGGATGCTAGAGATACAGAGATAAAAAATCTAATTGTCACCATCCTCTAAAAGCTTATATTCCACTGCAGGGAAATGGGAAAGGGAGGGGAATTGGGGGAGGGGGGAAGAGAACTACATATACACAGATATAAAATATATGTGTGGTAGGGCTGTGTAATAAATGCAGCCTGGCTAATGGGGGACATGGATAGATTGGTTGGTCTGGGATATGGCCAACTTTTCTCCAAGGGAGATTGTGATTTCTACCTTTTTAGGGAGTAGGAAGAGGGTAGGGGCTGGACACTTACTGCTTTGCTCCCCTATATACCAGATGAGTATTGAGCTAAATTATATCTATCCATCACACCTCAAATATTGGTATTCTAAGGATATAACATTGACGGCCCAGGAGAAACATCACTTTCACTTTTCCTGATTAGTTTTTTTTTCCTTTTTTCTGGCTAGGCAATGGGGTTAAGTGACTTTCATCTAATAAGTGTTATGTGTCTGAGGCCGGATTTGAACTCAGGTCCTCCTGACTCCAGGGCCAGAGCTCTATCCACTACACCATCGAGCTGCCCCACCTGATTAGTTTTAAAGAAAAAACAATACTTAGCTTATTTTTGACAGCTTAGCTCCCTCTCACAAAAGACCAACCTGAAGACCAAAAAAAAAATTGGTAATACATATTGTTAGTAAAGTAAGCAGCCAACAGAAATGGGGAAATTATATGGACTAGAATAGACTAAAGAATCCACAAGAGTAAATGATCTCTCCAACTTGGGAGCAAAATAAAAACTATTCAGCTCAACCAAGGAGGAGACAAAATTGGCAGGAGAGGGGGAGGAGGTGAGGCACCTGTCTTAGCACTCTCTAGGGTTGTAAATGCTGGAAGTCAAGGGATATGTTGGAAGCCAGCTCCCCACTGCTCTCCAGAGACATCTCCTATCTCCCATCCAAAAGTCTAAGCTTGCCCCTTAAGACAGCCTTTCTTAAAGTCCTCAACTGTCTGAAGAAATCTCTTCTCCATTCAAGCAGGCGTAAAGCATCATAAGCTCAGAGAGGTTTCTCAGTCAATCAGGTGTCACAAAGCCTGCCCTTTAGGGCACGGACCAACCTAAGTGGGCAGAAGTGTTGCATAAAGACAAAAAATATATGTGTGTGTGTGTGTGTGTGTGTGTGTGTGTGTGTGCGCGTGTGTGTGTGTATGTGTGTAGCACTAGGAGGGTATCAAGCAAGGCCTCTTGTAGGAGGTGACCCTGAAGCGGAGCCTTGAAGAGAGCAAGGAGACCCAGGAGGCTGAGGAAGGAAGTTTAGGACAGAAATACAGCCTTGCAGAGGCCCAGAGATGGAGCACAAGCAGGGTATGTATCTCAAGTAGGCCAATTTGGCTATCTTGTAGATCACATAAAAGAGTAATATGTGATCCACCTGGAAAAATAGGTTGGAGCCAGATTACAAAGGGTTTTTAATGCCAAATGCAAGAGTTTGTATTTTATCCAAGAGGCAAGAGGAAACAAATGAATCATCTTGACTGGGGAGTGGCATGGTCCAATACGCTTTAAGAATATCAATAGGCTCAGATTCTCAAAATCTATCCAATTGGCTTACCAATGTTCAGACTCCTTAAGAGTCTGCCCAATATGACAGATGTTCTAATAAACCTTGTCTTTGACTGAAAGAAGGCTTAGGTCGAATTCCTTCAGGTAGGACCTGTGTGTTGTGATTTTGGGGTCCCAGCACCCCTTAACCCCTAAACCTCAACATTTTGGTGGCCTGTACAGGGAAACTGCCTAACCCCAAGTTCTTCTCCAGCCAGGACTAGAGGTATGTAAGCCTCCCCTTCCCTTTTCTTGCTCTGTATTTGGGGTCACTCTCCAAGCACCAAGGCTTGGAGGTGCTTTTCAGGCAAACAGTTACAAAGCTGTCTCACACTCGGCCTAACACTCTCAGGCTCTCAGTCCACTGGTTTGGCTGGAGGCCATGGAGCTGGGTACACCATCTGCAGCACAGAGGACAAGGACCAATTCCCTATCTGGAAGCATGTGCCCAATTCTTTTTTTTTTTTTTTAAGGCAGTTGGGGTTAATTGACTTGCCCAGGGTCACACAGCTGGTAAGTGTTACGTGTCTGAGAATCCAGGGCCGGTGCTCTATCCACTGCACCACCTAGCTGCCCCAACATATGCCCAATTCTGTCAGTTCTCTTGGTGCTAGGCAATTGGGGGAAACTGCAGTTGCTTTTTGGTTCCTTGAGGTTTTCTTGTTCCCCTCTACACTCCTGAATCTTCCTTCATGGAGATTACAGGGAAAAATTAGAACAGCTAAAAAACATCTTAGCAGATTCTGAAGGTTTTGTGATTGATCATTAAGGAGTTTTGAAACTCCTCCTTACAACCCTGGTCACTCCTTTCCTCCCACTCACTTCCCTTGAGTCAAGAGGGTATCTGTTAACCCCTCTCCTAGGAGAAGAGAGTTTCACCCTTTACTCCTCACCTTTGACTTCACCCTCCCCCACCTGGGAAAGGAAGGCGCAGGGGCCCTAGGGCAACCTTTGCCTGGAAGCATCACCCAGGTTCAGCATGTCCTGCTCTAGGTAAAGAAGCTGGCCTCTGAACTTGGGTAAGCACGCTCTTTTAAAATTGTAGTTTTGACTGTTAATGATGAGATGCTGATTCTCTGTGTAAAGTAATTTGGAAATGCATTTAACAAAACTGAAGTCACCTGATTGATAATTGGTTTGCTTCAAGTTTCAAATTGGTGAACTTTTTGTATCAGTTATGTAAAGCAACTTTTCATAATTTGGTTATCGATAAAATTATTTGGCTATTGTTGGTTATTGTTTTAATGTGCAAATTTGCCAAAAAGCTTGTTTGGGTTTTGTCTTGCTGAGAATTCGCAAGTATATAGAAATAATCTCTAACAATTGGCTTTTTACACCAGGACAAATTTAAGTTTGAGATGTGTAAATCCTGGAAAAGTTTTTCCTAAACTGTGATTAGTGAAACTTGCTGTGTGAGGTAAAAGCTCATAGGATTTTATTTTGAGTTGCCTGATGGATCATAATAATCCATCGGTAATCAATAATCCCCCATCT